ATCCCTTTCCTATTTTAGCAATTAACTTAATAGAAGAGGGAAGAAGAGGAGAAAACAAAATCAATCATTACTTTCTTTTAACCAACAATAAATGACAAAAGCATAGAGTTGCATATAAAAGCAGTTAAAATCATTCTTTCTTGTTGTGTTGCTTGACAGTTTGGGGAGAGTAGATTTTTCTTTTTGTTTTAGTTTGTGGTTTTGCTTAGATTTGTCCATTTTGTTAAAATAAAATTTCTCAATAAAGGAAATAAATCAATCCCCTTTTTAAGTAGCTCCCATTATTCTTGCCCCCATAATTTCTCTTAACCTCCTACTGTAGAGGCATTGGTTTCATCTGTGATTATCTAATGGATAATCTTTCCATCCTCAGCTTTCCCCAAGAGCTGTTAGGAAGTGAGATAGTATAGCTTGTTCCCTGAAATATGGTTGTATGAATTAATAACTGTTCCTTCAGTTAGAGGAGAATTCTGCTATATACCTGACATCTCCTGTATTAAATAAGAGTGATGTTAAACTGGTATGGGAGCCATAATTATTCTCTGTTGATTGCAATATAGTTCTTATCTTTAGTAATCAATTAGTTAATCAACACACATTTATTAAGCCCTACTACATGCCAGGCAATATATTAGGTACTGGGAATATAGCTACAAGAATGAGACTGTCCATGCCCTTCAGGAGCTTACATTCTATCAGGGGTATCTTAATTTGTTCACAGATGAGTACTAAATGTAAGAAATATGTAAAATAAATATATAATGACTGGATGGGGGGAACACTAGCAACAGGAATTAACAACCACGGTGGTTGCCTCAGTGTCTGTCACAACATTATTGTTGTTAACATCCCCTTTTTATTGAAAGACAATGCCTAATCAACATGATACATTTGTTAAAGGCCTTTCCCAACTGGTTTCTCATAGATTTAGAACTGGAAAGGCTTTTAGTTCAAACCCCTCATTTTACAGATGAGAAAAATAAGACTGAGATACTAGATGTTCAAGGACATACAGTTGGCAGATCCTCTGATTCCAAATCTAGAATGACTTTCCACAGTACCATGATACCTCTAAAGTGAAATGTATGTCACAGCATAGTTGAAAGAACACTGGTCTGGGCGTCAGGAGACTCAGGTTCTGATTCCACCTGTTCCTCATGCAAATTTCTTAACCTCTTGACTTCCATTTTTTTCATCTGTTAAAATAAGTGGGTTAGACTGGAAGACTTCCATAGTCTTTTCCAGGTAGAAATATATGATCTTATGATCTCAAAGGTCCTTTACAAGTTCAAAACTCCCAAATTCCTTTGAACCTCCATGGGTTTTTCCATCATTTTTTTGGTACTCCTTGTACCCAATTGCCTTTCTTGAGTTTAATACACAGAAAAAAATGCTACTGTAGGATCATAGGAGATGAGATGGGACAATTACTGCCTGGACTCAGTGCTTCTCTCAGGGCATTAGTTTTCTTGGCTGCCATATGACATTTTTGACCCATTGAGATTTTAATGGTCAAAAATCTCTATATCTTTTTTTTTCCCCAGAGGAACTAACTTCACCTTTACCATCTTTTACATGTGAAGCTGATTCTTTGAACCTAAGGGTAAGCCAGTGATGGAGGTAAAGGAGAAATTTAGAGAAAGGGCTCTGGGAATATTCAACAAAAGGCTGTAGGGGGATGAAAAAAGTCTTCATGAGAAAGGTAGTGCCATAGCTGAACCTTAGAGGAACATGAGGATTCTGAAGGCAGAGTGGGAAAGTGAGTCAATTTTAGTTATAGAATAGTCTGTAGGAATGCCTAGAAGCAAGTGGTGGAATGTCACATTTAGGCAACAGCTTCCTTGACTGAAATAAATATAGGGAGGCTTGCATGAAAGGGAATAAAATGAAATAACCTGGAGAGGTAGGTTGGAGCTAAACTGTGGAAGATTTTAAAAGCTATGCTAAGAAGATTGAATGATTCTAAGATCTCATGCCTGGCTATCTGGGAAGATGGTGGTACCATTGACAAAAACAGGGAAGTTAGGCAGAGGGACTGGTTTAGGACAAAAGATGATAAAAAGTTCTAGACTTGTTGAGTTGAGGTGCCAGAAAGACATCTTGGTGGTTGTATATGGGCAGTTATGTGGTAAAGAGCATAGAGTCATAGACCTGGAGTCAGGAAGATGAGTTCAAATGTTTTCTCAGACACTTACTAGCTGTGTGATCCTGGGCAATTCACTCAATCTCTGTCTACTGCAGTTTCCTCATTTGTAAAATCGAGAAAATAGTAGTACCTACTTCCCAGAGTTGTTTTGAGGATTAAATGAGATAATATTCATAATGTGTTTTGCAAACCTTAAAGTACTATACAAATGTTATATATACATCAAGCAGTTGGAAATGGGGAACTAGGAGCTCATGGGAGAGATTACAGCTGGATACAGAAATTTGGGAATCATCTCTATAGAAGTGATAATTGAACTCATGGGGAGCAAGTATGTAGAGAGAATAATAATAATGATAATAATAATAACAAACATTTACATATCACTTAACTATGTCCCAGGAATTGTGCTAAGCACTTTACAATTATTATCTCATTGGATCATCATAGCAACCTTGGGAGGTAGGTGCTATTATTATTCCCATTTTGGGTTAAATGACTTGCTTATGGTCACACAGCTAGTAAGTGTCTGAGGCTGGATTTGAACTCCAGTCTTCTCAATGTTAGGCACTGGGCTGCAGCCACCTAGAAAAGAGAATAGGGGCTAGAACAGAATTTGGGGGGATGCCCATGCATAGGAGCAGGGCAAAGTCTGAAAAATAGTCAAAAAGGTTGGAGAACCAGGAGATTCTGTGGTGTCAGAGAAGCCAAGAGAAGAGAAAATAGATAAATGCTAAATTTATCTTTTTTGTTATAGTGTTTAGCTACTATATTAGTGTGATTTAATTCAATTCAACCACCACTTGCTAAATATCTCCTATATTTCTCCTTTTTTTGAGGAATGAAAATAAAATATTGAATCCCTAGGTATCTCTGATAACAGGTCTAGGCTGATTGTGAAATTAATCAACAGGTCCATTGGACTCAGAACAATTGTTCCTCTTCAGAAAACAAAGGACCAATAACAACCACCTCCTATGTGTAGAGTACTATGCTAGGCACAGTTTAGTAGAAAGATATGGCATATATATGTATGTATGTATGTATGTATGTATATATATACACATATATACCAATAAGCACAATACGAAATTGAGACAATAGGTGCAAAGAGCTAAAATTAATTACTATTTGAAAAGATCAGCAAATGCTTTATGGAAGGAGTAGCATTTGAGTTAGACTTAAAAGGATGGTTAGGAATTGAATGAGTAAAAGAGTGGGAAACATTTAAAGCATATGGAACAATGTGAACAGAGGTACAAACGCTGGAAAGAATGGGTCTGGCCTGGAGTCTGGAGACAGTTGCTTTTGTTCTTCCTTTGTTCTCAAAGAGGGAGCAGGTTAGGGAAGAGATGTTGTATGAGATAAAGCAGGCAAGGTAAAGTGGCTCCAGATAGTGGAGGACCTTGAATGCCAGATCAAATGGTGTGAACTTTACCGGGTGGGCAGGAGCTATTGAAAGGTTTTGAGCAGAGCAGTGACTTAACCAGATTTATACATTACAATGATTAGTCTGGTATGCAGTAGCTACTAGTCTGATAAACCACTAGTGGTTGTGTGAAGAATAAGTTGGAGGGGAGGGGGCAGATGGGTGGTGAAAGGGGTGGGGAATAGAATTAGGAAAAACCTGTACGATAGATGCCTTCCTGAAATTAAAAAAAAAATTAACATGGGGGTGGGTGGCTGGGAAATAGATACTCCATAAAATTAGTGACGCTTCTGTAAAGTACTCAATGGTCTTTAGATTTTTCAGCTCATAAAGGACATAGAGGAAGACTGTGTTCTGTACAGTCCCCAGGCAGCTAGGATACCAGGCTTTGTTCAGAAGTACGAATGGATTAGAATTAGTTTTAAAGGTACGAGCAAAGGAAAGCACAGGTAGTACACCGTTCCTTAGGCTATTTCCAAAAATTTAACGGCCGGGGGGAGGGAGGTAAGAGGCTGTGTATTTTAATAAAGGAGGTGCGAGGTTGAGCTAGGGCAAGTCCTGAGAAGCCTACATAGGTGTAGGTCTCAGACTTTGGCTGCTCTTGGTGAATAAACCAGGTGCCCTTCAAATCGGAGGGCATAGGGAGGAGGGAGGGCCTGGCCCTTTAGGGGTATTAGGGTACAGCTTCCCGGGCTGAGAGCAAAAGGCAGCAGGGGTGCCTGCACCCTGCACTGGCCCGATGCTAGTTTCGTATTACGGGACTCAGGAAAGGGGCCGCACAGCACTTCTGTAAGGGAGCCTGGATCTCCTGCAGATGAGCCGGCGGGTCAGGACAATGTAAGGCACCTAACCTGGTGCCTTGGTCCTGGCCCGGCGGGAGGGGCAACAGCGTTCTCAGAACAGCCAGGAGAAAAGCGCCCCTGGCTCGGGATGCCAGCGGGCCGGGCCTGCTCTCCTCGGTCCCGAATCCTTTATTATCATTGGTTCTACTGTCTGTCTTTCACTCCCAGCACCCCAACTTCATTAGCTCTCCCGACTGTCACTCATTCTCGCCGCGCTGGCTCTCATTGGCTTCCTTGTCACGAAAGCCCCGCCCCACGAGCTGAGCCCCGGCCGAGGGGCGCTGAAAAGAGAGTGGGGCGCGGAGCACGGCAGAGCCAAGCAGCAGTGTTTGGGCTTGCGGGCGGGCAGGCAGGCAGGCAGGCAGGCAGGCGAGCGGCAGCGGCGGTGACCGAGGAGGAGAAAGAAAAGGAGAGGAAAGGAGAGGCACCGCGGCCCAGCCCGAGTGATGGTGCAGGGGGCCGGCGCCGCGCTGCCCCACTGAGGGGCGCCTGCTCTGGTCCGGGGTCCGCAGCGCCGCCGCTGCTGCCGCCGCCGCCGCCGCGTCGCTCCCGGGGGCGGGCTGGCTGGCGGACGGGCGGGAAGATGCTGAGCAGGTTGATGAGCGGCAGCAGCAGGAACCTGGAGCGCGAGTACAGCTGCACCGTGCGGCTCCTGGACGACAGCGAGTACACCTGCACCATCCAGGTCAGCAGCCCCCGCGCCCTCGCCCACCCACCCACCGCGGGCGCCGCCGTCGGCTCTCCGTCACCCTCCTCGCTGCAGCAGCAGCAGCAGCAGCTCCGGGGTAACTTGGCTCGGGGCCGCTTGCTTCTCGTCTCCTCTCTGGGCTTTGTCCGCGGACCGGCTGCGGCTCAGCTAGGGGGGCTTTCACGGAGGGGAGGGGGAGCCTCTCCCAAACCACTCCTTCTCGGGAGCGGGACGTTATGCCCCATTTCTTTCTCTTTTCCCCACTTTTGTCCCCCTAAGCTCTTCTGGATTGGGGGGGTGATCCCCGAGTGTGCTGCAGACTCAGGTGTAGGCTCTTGTCCCAAGGACCCTCCCCAACCCCCTGCCAGTCCCTCCTCCCCTTTTGGATGCTGGAGAAACCCTCTCTTGCTCTGTCCCTGTCTGGGCGCACAAAAAGCCTGCCCGGAGAGGGAGCTGTCCCCTGGGCAGTGCACCCCTAGTGAACGCACTCATGGGGACAGGTCGGGAGGTGTTTCGCTCGGCCGCCCCGTCGGAGCTGGGGGTTTTTAAGTCCGTGGACGCAGGCAGCAGATACTCGATCTCGGGGTAGCCGGCCGAGCTGCTGCGCCTGCTGCTGGGATAGGACTCGGGAAGGACAGAAGGACTTGGGGTGGGGGGGGGGCTGTGCCGGAGCTGACCGGCTTTTCTTTCTATATTTTTCTTTGATAGGAAGAATAATGGTATATGTCATATGTTTCAGCGTTTTGTGAGTCAGACTCGGAATATAGGATGGAGCACAACAGCCCGTGCAGAGTGGCCTATTGAACAGAGAAAGCGACTCCTCTTTCAGACAGCCCCCCACCCAATAACCCTACACACACACGACCACCGCCATTCACTTTCAAAACGATGTTGTGTTTAGCAGATGTATGTATGTGGGTTTGGAGGTGGGGCGAGAAAGGAAGAGGTTGTAGATTTAGTACAAGTCTCAGCTATGGGGGGGGGGCACATGGTAGAGAAATCAGTGACTTAAAAAACAACAGCGCTGCACAGAATGAAAAGAATCCCTTCAGCGCCTGGTATATTACGATCCCGTGCTGTTCTGTTCCCTCCCTACTGCTGTGTGGTACGTCAGGAGTAGTAGTCGTTCCCAGGAATGCAGTAACAACCCTTTCTCCTCCTTTAGTCAGGGATGAAAAACACTGAAAAACCCTCAGTGTTTAATTCATTAGGAATTAATGGAATTAATTAAGGAATTAGCTGGAAACTGCCTTTTTCTTCCCCTCCCCAGAAACAAACATAGCAGAAATCAGTGAAGTCTTACCTGATTGCTGCAGCCCTAGTTGAAAGACCAAAAGCTCTGGGTTCCAAGATGTGGCAGACGGAAACTGTTGGCACCAACCCCAGTGGCTCTGGCCCTTCTCACACCCTCCCCTTCTGTATTGGGATGTAGCAGTGTGAAGGAGGAAGGCGGTAATGATAGCTGCTGCTCTTTGCTGCCTTGGTTCTGGGTTCAGAGTTCCCATCTCTAATCTGTCTTTTCCCCCTTCCCCTTGTTGTCAATCTAACTGCTAGGTGCTACCGAAGGTGCATGAGGTTAGAGGAAAGAGTAGAAAATCTATTTTTAAAGACACTGAAGCACAGACTTAGCAGAATTTGTGATTAGGCTAACCATCAAGTGAAAGCCCTACTGTATTTGATGGTGATCATTTGAGATGCTGAATATTATTCCCTTTCAGAGCGATGAGTTACTTTACCTGTATTGTATTTTCATGTCTCATAGGCTGCATTTCAAAAAATAATTTTTAACACTTTGTAGAAGGAAAAAAATACGATTTATGCACCTATACCATTTGGACATATGAAGTAGCTGATTATGTGCCACTGTACTACGTTTCAAAGTATGCATATTTTTGTTAGTTTTAAAGTTTAAAGCTTTTTGCAAAATTTGGATGGTTCTGGGCACCTCTTGGAGGAGGCACAATATACTGTTGGGATATGGTTTGAGGGTGGATTTCTGAGACAAGTCATTGTCACAATTTTTAAAAGGTGTGGAACTATTAATAGTTTTTTAATTTTCAATTGAATAAATTGAAGAACTAGTGACATCATTAATCTGATAGAAATGTTTGGCTACCAATAATTTTTAATGAATCAAGATAAGTCACTTGATTATTTTCTTTGATAGAACAATGTCAAGGGTTAGTGATTGGTTGACTTCATGTTATAGGTATGGGTAGTTTCTATGATCTACTTTGAGAAAGGAAATACAAATATTTAACTTTTAAGAATGCTGCTTATGATTAGCTGCTGAGTGCATGCTTGAAACACCATCTTAGACTAGTTGTATGCTCTGTTGGTCTTAACTGAAACTATCCTAACTTGCCTTTGAAAATCCAGGCCTTGAAAAAAAAAAAGGAACATGGTATCATGCAAAAATTTTTTGGTTCTAGCATCATTTTTATTTACTTTTGTGAGATATGAAAATTAGAGGGGAAATATCAAAATAGCATATCATATGGAAGGAATATATTCTATGAACATGACTTGAGTGTTTGAGAATTATTTTTTCCTTAGCAACTCTTTTCTTTGCTACAATGTAATTTAATTTTTAATAGTATTTGGAAGCAATATGAAAAAGAATAGTGAAGCATTTGTTGTTGTGTAAGATTAGTCATTCTCATCATATTTGGAATTGCAATTCTTTGATTTTGCAACATTGCATTTCTTTTCCTAAAAGTCCCATGTAATTCTTGATATCTTCTTTAAAAACAGACATGAATGTATATACAAGTAAGTCTGTCTACATATAATGCATATAAACTCATTATGTGACTTTTTATATGTATACACATTTACATGTGTGTGAATATAAACTTCTCCAGGAAGTAAGAGCAATATATATGAATATATATACTCTATGTCTATGGAGAGAGTGATCTTTACACATCTACCTGACATCTTTTTGGGAATATGAAATTTAATGCAGAATATTATTGTAATCTTTTATATTGCTGTAGTTATACTGGACTAGTTACCTTAATCTGCCAATCTGTGAAACGTTATAAAATTAACACAAACATCTTTATGTCTCCTAAATGAAGGTTGCTACAGTTACCACTTTTTTATAGGCATTATTTCATTACTTCTAATATGCAAATATATTTATAATCTATGAGAAAGGAAAGTATGCATTGTAGGACTGTAGTATAATCATTCTACTGTGAAGAACATTGTTAATAGCTAGGGAATGCTGACTTGAATTTTGAAGGTCATTGCCTCATAAATGCAGATGTAGTCCATATTTTTCACTGATCTGTTTTATTTGTGCAAGTTTATATTTACACACCATGTTTGCAATCTTGCCTTGCTATTTTATTGGGAGGAAAATAAGATTTATTAAACAACTATACATTCCTTTGATTTTAATGAACTGAATAGAGACATTAAATGCAGTGCTTGAACATAATAATGTGCTGAAAAGTAGATTCTTACCTGTCTTTAAGAGCGTAATAGTTGATTCTAAAATGCTAGGGAGGTATATTAGAACATTTACAGTAGGAATGTAATTTAAGCAACCTATTGGTCTCTCCCTTCAAGTGTGAAATATTTCCTTTTGTTTTAATGAGAACTCAAATTCACCTAGGAACTAACTCAATTTTTTTTTTATCAGAAACACATATTAAATAACATTTTATACATTTAATTATTAATTTAGCACCTGAGAAAAATTAGCCTTTGTGGTGACTTGTGAAGGAACAATTATTAATAGATACTGTACTCTTTACAGTTATTTAATGTGTATTTCCCCAAGTAATTAAAAAGACAAATTTATGAAATATTCTATTCTTTTTGGGAGAATATATCAGCTAGTCTTACATCTACTTTAAGCTATCTATGAGATTTAATTTTAATTTTGAAGAGCAGACCTGGTTGACTCAAATTAAGGGTTTTCCCAACCCAAGATTTTTAGTTTGCTTTCTTGGCCTCCTCAAGCCTTAATCATTATTCCTGATGTGATATGTCTTTTGTAAGAATTTCCCCGTTATATTAGACTGTAAATAGGATTTTGATTTCATTAAGCAAAAGGAATGTTAAGTTAATTTTATTCACAGAAAAGAACACAGAGGTATTTTAATGAATATTGATTTTTTTAAAAAAGCTTTTATCTTAAGAGCAATTAAGCTATCTTAGAAGCTCTATTAAAAATAGCAGTCACTTAGAATACATATCCTTTTAAGAAACTAAATTTTTTTTGGAATGTCTTAATTTTGGGGTTAGTTCTGTAACTTGTACACTAAACAAATTACATTATAAAGGAAAACAAATCATTCTCTTCATATGTAAGGTATGTTGTTGCTTTAAAAAATATTCTTCATTTATGCATGAGGTACAGGAAGCTATAGAAAATATGTAAGTCTTTTGTTTGCAAAGGCATTTGTATACATTTGTGCTTTAATAGATCTTTAGGACTAATTTACTAAGTAAATAATGCAATTGTGGACAAAATATGATATGAAAGAGCATATACCTTGCTCTTGTTTTATGTTAGTAGCCACACATGTTGTTTGCCAGTATCTGGTATACTACTAGTTATATAACAGATTTGTTTGAAACACATTTGAATATTCGAAGGATCTGTAATTTGATTGGTGTAGATTCTCCTTCCAGCAGAGCACATCATCATATCCCTTTTGTAACTTTGAGATCTTTGAGAGTTGCTGCAGTTGAAAAATTCATTACCCTATCGTGCCCAACTTGGTGATAAAACTACTCTAAACTTGGCTAAGTTGGTCAGTTTTAAATTTTCTTGTTCCTCAACATAGTAAACCACCTCCAAAAACAGGACAGGAATGCCGGTGCCTTGACCACAGTCAATTCAATAATGGCTTCCCTGCCATTATAAACAGACCCTTTGTAATATCTGTTCCTTATAATCTCTTTGGGCCTGTAAAATCAAGGGGTTCAAGTGGCTTGCTAGCTTTAAATATATGATCTATATTTCTAAAACCCTCTTA